CACAGATATCCACTTCCTTTCTTAGCCTAGCTTCCACTCCTCTTTCCCATAGCTTCATTGTGTGGCTCATCAACTTTATACCTCTGTAGTTGCTACAACTCTGCACATCACCCTTGTTCTTAAAGATCAGCACTAGTACACTTCTCCTCCATTCCTCAGGCATCTTCTCACTCTCTAAAATCCTGTTGAACAAACTAGATAGAAACTCCACTGCTGTCTCTCCTAGACACTTCCACACCTCTACAGGTATGTCATCTGGACCAACAGCCTTTCCACTCTTCATCCTCCTCAGAGCCTTCCTCACCTCATCCTTTCTAATCTTTGCTACTTCCTGCTCTACAATATTCACCTCTTCCCCCCCTTCTTTCCCTCTCATTTTCCTCATTCATCAGTTCCTCAAAATACTCCTCCATCTTCTCTGCACACTCTCCTCACTTGTTAGCAATTTAAGACAATTTAATGTATGCAAATGAGTCCCAAACATCAACATGCCAAGTAACAACAACATAAAGAACCAACCTTAAAGCCAAACCAGGGAAAAACAAAACATTTTTTAGAAAAAACTCAGCTGAAGAATGCTGGATGAAAGAAAGATAAAACAAAAGTGTGCAGACTGCTCCTGACCTTTGTCACAGAAGCGCCCCCCCCAGCCCGGTTCACAGCTGCACTGCCATGGCTGCTGACAGGACCCATGCATGCAGCCGGGCATTGGCATGCAGCGCTCACAGCGCTCACCGTCCCAGCCAGGATCACATCTGCACATGCAGACAAACAAGGAAACTAATCACAACATCACCATCGTATCATCGCATGTGGTCAGTTTTAACTGCTGTCACTGAATCAGCCCCAGGACCTTAACCTAATAATCCATCCATCCATTTTCCTCCGCTTATCCGGAAACGGGTCGTGGCGGCAGCAGTCTAAGCAAAGATGCCCAGACCTCCCTCTCTCCAGACACTTCCTCCAGCTCCTCCGGGGGAAATCCGAGGCGTGACCAGGCCAGCCGC